TTAAGGAAGGTTCAGCTTACTTCAGTAGGAGAGCTGAGGAGTCCTTAGTAACGCGTGTTTGCCGTCAGGATATTTTGTTAGTAAACCTAATTACGCTCGGGCGAATTGTACGTGCTTGTTGATAATTGCCGACTAAGTTAAATTAAGTGCCAACTACGTTAGATATTTGTATATAGCTTCGGCTAAGTAAGTTTAATTTAATATTAGATTAGTTTCTTATTTTTCTTCTCTCCGAGAAGGGGCTTACTGTATTATTTCTTTTAGTGAATAAAAGGGTATTTTAACCGTTCTCTGGACTTTTTTGATGGGAACACGTAAACTCAGCGATAAATCGCTAGACAGTTCAATAAGTTCCTCTACGTTCAGCATAGTCCAAGTAGTGAGAAACATTATAAACTCTTAAATCGAACACCTTATAAAGGCTTTTTTCAAATATGGGAACAGAATGCTCCTCTCAGATGTAGAATAATTTCTAAAGTTTCCACACCCTCTTTCTACAAAATGAAAATGATCACTTTTCGCATCTTCCATGGTTGCAAAAATAGTTCTACAACCATACACCTGTATCAGTCAAACAACTGAATCAAATTAAGCAGTATATAAACATGTCAAGACTTGTCCTGGTTGATGAGGTTGCCTTTAAGTCTTAGAAACTCAATTCCTAGAACATTGGGAACAGCCTATACGTACTTAAGCACATCCAGCTAGCAACTAGAAGAAGAGTGATTTGAGTATAGCTGAGGTTTCGCATTTCCTGCTTCGGAAAGCCTTTACAAACATAGTGCATAAAACAGATGCATACCACCAAACTGTTATTCAGCGATTCCACGACAAGTCGTTAAACTGGCGCTTTATATCACACTATTTTCCTGATGATTAATCAAGATCCCTTAAGCTTACTGATAATTACGCAAGTTTTCTTATCAAGCGTTTTATTGTTTTATGTAGTAATTGGTAGAAGAAGTAATGTTATTTAATTCGCCGATGACCACCAGCGACTAAATGCTATAAATTTTCGCTTTTTGTTAGAGTATCATTCCACTGTACTGCACTTTCATTGCCCTTCGCACCTTTATAAAATTTTCTTCCTCTCATGTCGTATATTCTGATTGCCTCATGTTACACACTCACATCGATCATCTATTTGTATGATATTTCTGATGCTGCTTTTCTCGAGTTTTAAAGAGAACAAACTTCACTCTTGGTTATATTGATTTACTCCAAAGTGTGAATAAATTTCAAAATTCCTTAAATATTTCGAAAGCAAGATAGAGAATTTTAACGTTCATTAATAAAACTAGAAGTTGCGGCATTCAATAAATTTAATTTGCAGTAAGTCTGTAAGGGCATTGTTTTTAAGGCATTATTTCATTTTCATACAAATTAGAACTTTTTGATCTACTAATGAATTCTCCTAAATTGATGGAAGAATAAATTTTAGGCGCACCGTTACTTTGTAAGTTTTTAGTGAACGCCATGGTTCATAAAAAAGTTACTACTTAAAACAAGTAATATTTACTACTTTTTTATTTTAGGACATAAAATTTATAGAAATCGTACAAAATTTATAGAAGTCGTTCCTTGAAGGAAGCAGATGTGTATAATATATAGTGTCTAGTTAACCAACTAATACATATGAATTCAACCTTCGAATACGACCTGATATCTCTCTTCTATTTTTACGCTTTTGTTATGAGTATTTAAATCGCCAATGTTTTTAAAACTTAAGATGATCAGAAATTAATATTTCCTATTTGAAAAGAATCATTCATATCATAAAGTTCTCCTATTTTTGTCAGTTATTTGCAATCAATTCCTACTCAAATTTTTATACTGCTTTACCTCGAATGATCCGCTTTAAAATTATACTGTCTTACATTAGAGAAATTATATATTTAGCAAAGAAATAGAAATAATAATATTCTAGACATTGAAGGAGAAATCATTTCTGCAGCATTATGAAAATGAGTTCATTAAGAATAGGGAACCTTTCAAAATAAATAATTGAGTTTAACAGCGAATATCTAAAATTAATATTCGCTTTTAGAAACTTATACTAATTATTTTACTTAAATTTTTCAAGGTAACATTCTTTATTTTATTTAATTATTTATTTTTGTTAAACAAAATCGCTGAAAGATCTAAAGCATGAAAAAAGATAAAAGCATAATTGTTAAAATGCTTGAAAATACTAGTTACAGAAAATTTTTCAGCAAATTAATTTTATGAAAGCAATAAATACCAATTAGCAGATCTTAAATTACCATGGAGATCACCCAAGCACAATTCCGGTATTTCTCACTTTTTGAGATGAATCGGAATTCCAGCCTGAGTGCACCAGTCTTAACAAGTTTAGTTCCGGTAGTTTTTTTTTTAAACCATAATTTTAGGAGGAAATTATTTTGATTTCTTAGCATTTTATTTTAATAATAAGTAAGACTTGGAAAATAATATTAACTTCTGATCTTTTCATGGGAAATAAATCCTTAGATGAAAACTCAGATAATAATGCAAGAAAGGTCATCACCCATAGGCCGAAACCTTTCCTTTTAAGATGTGGAATAGATCTACTTGTTTAGAGTTAGTTAGGGAATAGGTAGATTTCTCGTCCCAAAAGGTTAGTAACAGTGATTACCATGGTCGTGCCTTCGTATCTACTGATTGCGTATCAGCGATTTTAGATACTTGCGATTTATAACAAAAATGGGAATTAAATCATCGTTTATGTTTCTGAATGAGCTCCAAGCTGTAAGAAGCCTAACACAGCGAACTATTGAAATTAAGAAGCTCAAACATGTCAACACTTCCCACAACGCATCATAGACTTCCACACAAGAAAAAGCACTTCCGTGCTTTTCGGATGGATGTAACCAAATACGGAGTATAAAAATAATCACTTATTGAACGTTTCATTTGCTTTCAACTTACAAATCAAATCTCAGATTCAAGGGCATTTTTGCTTCTTTCATGCATTTTACTTGACGGCTATAACTACATCTGTAGGGACAGTATTCTCATTTTGTTTACAGCATTCTGTCTACTCTCCTTGGCGATACTTTAACAGTTTCACTATCTTTTGCGTTGGTGTGATAATAAATTTTTGTTTATATCATTCCTTGAAATAGCGTATAATAGTATATATTCAGAGCTTAAATCCAGCATAGGCCTGACTCCGCCATTGCTTGGTTTTGGGGTAAAACTATAATTCCAACGGAAGCCCAAATATGACTAGATGAGGAATTTATTTTATTACTTAACTATTTGTTATCAGTTTAAATTCATTTAATAAATTTACTTTTTCTCATTTTTATTGAATTTTAATTATTGATTGATTTATAAATTTAATTATTAATCATTTTACGAATAAATTCATTTATTTCCTTCGTCTTTTTTGATGGTCTTCCATAGGGCTTCGGCACTTGTAATTCCAGAAATTAAGTTTTGTTGGAAACTGAAAATGCGGCAAGATAAAAAAAATGGTAGGAAGAAAATAAAATTAATTTTGAAACCTCAAAATTCGCAAATTAAACAACTGGAAATTATCCGAACTTGAGCTATTTTAAAGTATAAGAGATTAGAGCGCATACATAGTTTCAACGTGTTTGCTAATAGAAACTTGCAACAAAAGTAAATAAATAAGTGCTTAATATATGAAACTTTAAAGTACTCACAGCAGCAAAGCATTCACATCATTTTAAGAAAAATATTTTTCAGAATTCATCTTAAGGTACTTTTTCGCTAAAAACCACATGGTAACACAAATTTTACCATGATAAGATTACTTCTGCTTCTTGATGGGTACCAAATCGTTTCACATCTCAACTCATTATTCTATTTGTGTGTATCTCATGGGTTACTAAGAAATTTCAGTCATTATTTACGTCTCCTTAATTTATTAAACTGATTAATTTTAGCTCATTTTTCGCATTTTATACCATTTTAATAACTGAAAAATATAAAAGAAGGAACTTCTTAGAAATTAAAATGTGATTAAAATCTTTCTATTTAAGCACTATGTGCGCACTTTTCACATGACAACTTCATCAGTTTAAAAATATTATGGCTAAATTAATTGAAGAAAAAAATGTCTCGTTTGACGAACGGAACCTAGAGTTACGAACACTTAGATGGTAACAAATAGTTCTCAGGTAATGGTTTTAAAGTAAGGTATGACCCAAAATTAAGGCTCAAGTATTTCCAGAAACCATTATTTTAATAATTTCCGTTGCTTAACTCTCAATAAAAAGGTCTGGCAGCAAATGACTTATAGGACCACGAATTCGGTATGGAGAAAATTATTACCAATGTGTTGCAGGAACAGATTTTAAGAACTTTGGTATTTCAGCTTTTCTTTTAGAAGTTAACGGTGTAAACTAAGTAACGGAGGAGTTACTAAGTAACGATGAAACTGAGCTCAAGAGCAAAGAACTGGAATACCTTCTGAAATAGCAATAAAATGCGACTGAAGGGAAAGAGGAAGAAGAAAAGATAATCCTATGTCTTTGAAACCGCCGAATTTAAGCAAAATCGGCAAGGTGTAAAATTTTCTTGCAATAGTTTTGATTTCTTAGATGTTCCTTCAACTTAAGTAAAATGAATGCTCGGGTGTTTTTTTTTTTTTTTTTTTTTTTTTTTTTTTCCCCTGGCCATTTATGAAGGAAATGGCGAGGAGTTTTAGAACACTATAAAGGTCAACAGCATTCCCCTACAAAATGAAACCAAGTTGTTACTAAACAAGCGCAAATGTTTAATATTATTACCTGACTTTTTATAGCTTTTGTGGTTAACATCGCATATCAAATGTGGTTCATTTTGCAAAATATTCTTCGATCAGCTCAAGTGTGTTTGAGTATTTTCTATCTAGTTCGCATTATATTCAGCTAACTTAACAAAAAGTTTTATGAAAATGTAAATTGTGCAATTCTTTCACAGTAATTTGGCTGAAATTTTTTTTTTTTTTTTTTCAGTTTTGCTCTTCAAAAATATTATTATTAGCAAATACTGAACTATATTTTATTCCAAAAACTCAGTTCCTTTCATAGAGTTGCTATTACAATATAAAATTCGTAAAATGATAGTTAGCCTGAAATTTTAGACTTGAATAGATTTTGCTTTAGTAGTCCCACATGATTTGATTCTGAGTTTCAGTTGTTATTACTGATAATGCACTCTATTGTAACCTAAAAATGAGAAGAAAAGAAAGATACGTGTTATGAAACATGTAAGAGTTTTAAACATTTTAAAATGCACAAAACTGAGATCTCATTTATGTTTCCAATTTGTCTTAATTGGCAATTAATATCATCTGATCAAATTTTCAATTAATTTTAATACTTTAGAAGATAAAAATGGCATGTATAAGAAAAATATTAAAATATTAGGGGAAGATGTTTTGAGATTTCAGAATGCCTATCATCAGAATTTCTAAATTTACCTTAGAGTTTTGTCGTGTTTAGCTTTTGTTGTTCTTAACGCTCATGATGCACTACTAATTTCATTTTTACCAGATGTTTCAATACGTGTTAACAATTCTGGTCGGTACTTCATTTACACTGATATTCACTTATAATTCGATTATAGTAATGTTTCCACAATATGATTAAGTACATTCTGAAGAGGTGTAGTAAAATAGGTTAACAGAACTATTTCCCTAGCTGATTACATGTAATACAAATACCGATTTGGTAATACTTCCATCCAAAATCGTTACTTTCTGTATGTATTAAAATTTATAAATTATTTAAATATAAAAGTAGGCTATAAATTTGGTCAAAAACAGCGTTATGGCGGCTGTAAAACTAAATAAATTAAACAGTTTTCATATTAGAATTGTATACACATAATAATTAAAGTAAAAAAAAATTATACCTAAATTTAAAAATTAAAGAAAAAGAAGGAAAAGCATTAGAGTAACTTGAGAAAACCTTATGTAAAAAACACGCCTAGTAAATCTCAAATTAATATTGTGAAAAACAAGCGAAAATAGATTTTTGGCAAGTAATGTGATGACACAATACACTTAAATGTGGAAAAGGTTTTTGAAGCAGGAAACATGAAAAAATGAGCATTGCCATTGTCGAGACTTAAAGTCGAGTATGCATCCAATAACAGTACGAAAGCATGCAGAAAGGAGAGAAAAAATAGCTCATAACAGAAAATTAACATAAACAAAACTTTTTCGTAAAAATTTAAACCAAAAGTTTAAAAACTTACCTTTTGTGAAAAATAGGTTATTGTAGCAAGGACGGGCGCAGTAGGGCTTACCTTCTTTCTGTAATATAATGATTAAGTACTCATTTTGAGCAAATTTATACATCAAACATCGCCATCATTTACTTAAAATATCAATAAATAATTCTCACAAAAGTGCCAGTATTTTAAAAAATCATGACTCAGCAATGTATCTCAGGAGGAGATGGTGAATATTACGGGAGAATGCTAAGAAACTTGCTACAACTATTTGTCAATAATACTAAGAACATAAGAATTCATCAGAGCTTATCAAAACAATTTAATGAACAATAAATATTCCTTGAGTGGTGATTTCAGCGAAAACTATCTTTAACAGACGCTTCTCAAACTTTCTTAAAAGCTTAATTCCTCTAACTCTTCTAGTACAGACAATAAATGTATAGCCCCTCAATTCCATTTCGTCTGTAAACACATTTTGACGTTTTAATCTGCTGCATAATCGTGAACATACAAAAGGCAAAATAAAACTGAGTGTTGCTTACGGCTTGAAAAATAAGACGACAGAGAATGTGTTTGTGAATATGTGAAATACCCAATGAAAACGTGTGACACAGATTGCTCGGAAACTCAGTTTTAATTAGCTTTTCTTCGTATTTAGTAAACATTGTAAATATTTAGTAGACATTGTGAAAAAACTGACTCTCTTGCGAATAGATGCAGCAACGGCAGATCTGTAAGAGCTACCTTGCAGGGAATGTCTCATTTTGCGTCACTTCACTACAAGAGATCGACGTATTGCTTTTGTAAAAACTGCAGAGCTTATCTGTACAGTGGTCTGCATCTCGTGCAATAGCTAGAAACAGGCAACATAATATGAGTAAGCATACCACGTTCCCTGTTACTAATTTTAGTAACAGGCAAAATACATTTTCTGCAGAAGCAGAAGGACTTCGATAGAAGTTACTGGTGATGGGTGGAAACTGAACGACAAACGGATATTTTGTCTGACGAGTTACCCTCTTGAATTCTATGCAAAAATATGGGACGTAGAATCATTCTGCAATCGAATTCAGAATTCGTTCCAAACTAGTATATGATACAGTTAAGTTTCCAGTCATTATAGCCTTAGGCAGATAGTCCTCAAGTGCTTTGTCATAATAAAATAAACCAAACAGCCATTAAATATGTACGCATTTTTTAGCTTTCTAAGTATATGAGATTTTCTTTCCTATGGCAGGACTATTACGGTTATTCTATAATTACAACAATCTTTATCTGTAGAGACATTAGGTATTTTTTGGAAGCAGGCAATGATGAAAAATTAGTAACCGCCTTCACCGGGAATCGAGACATGGATCTCTGGAATACCGGCCCAGTGTGCAGAACCACTACACCACAAAGGCACGCTAGGAAAGTGGGAGAAATAACTTATATTCCCCTTTTTAAAGGGCGACTGAGGTTTTTAGGGGAGCCAGTCGCCAAATCCTGGATATTGAGAGTCATCAACCACAACCTTTTTAGTTCGGGTGCCACTGTAGAGACATTAGGTATTTTTTGGAAGCAAGTAAAGACGAAATATTAGCAACCGCCTTCGCCAGGAATCAAACCACAGACCTGAATACCGGCCCAGCGTGCAGAACCACTACACCACGAAGGCACGCTAGGAAAGCGGGAGAAATACCTGATAGGCTTTTCAAGTATATGTGATTTTCTTTCGTATGACAGGACTATAAATGCTCTGCGATATCCAAAGAATTTCGCAATAGTCTTTGCTGCCTTAAGCAATTAGACACGGAGAATCTTTCTTCAACCAGAAGACCCGTACAACTAAATACTATGAATTCTATCATTTTCTTCACCAAAATAAAGTTCTGAATTGAATACCAAAATCATATGGTCTCAACCCCCTCCAGAACCGTTGAAGCAAGATCAGCTGAAAACTCTTTTCCACGAAGTCCGAGACAATATGTCAAAAGTAGCAGTACATGCATGAAAACAATGAGTAACCGATATACAGAGGTCTGTCCAGAAAGTAATGAGACTGAAGTATTCACTCCAAACAAAAGGCCAAAGGGGCGGACTTTGCGGGAGGTTCGAGTGGTGGGGGCTATCAGCTACACAATGAAGTTAGTTGGCCTTGAGCCTTTCCAGTGCGCAGATCGCTTGGGAAGTAGACACGCGTTTGAAAGTGGCATTAGGTTTTTGCAATGCAGTGCAGTGTCGACCAGAGCATGAGATAAAGTTCGGTTCAAAATTTCACAAATCGGCTACTAAGACGTTTGTCATGTTAACAAGAATCATACAGGAAGGATTCTTTGTCCAAGGCTCAAGTGTTCAGGTTGGACAAAAGCTTCAAAGACAGAAGACAGGACGTCGATGACGAACAACGCGCTGGGCGCCCATCAAGTTCTTAAACTTCAGATAATCTGGATAAAATTAAAGCGCTTTTGCACTCTGATCGTCGGATGAGTGTCTCAGTGATTGCGGAGACGTCATGACTAACAAAATTGACTATGCATTAAATCGTCAGGAAAGAACTTCAATTCCGAAAATGTGCGCCAAACTTGTTCCAAGGATTTTGATCGACGGACGGAAAGAAAAAACCATGAGTGCATTTCGCGTGTTGGAGTGTGTAACAAGTGACCCTAAATTTTGAAGCGAGTGTTACCAGTGACGAAGCATGGGTTTTTTTAGCATGATACCGAAACAAAGAAACAGAATGCAGAGCAGTCTTTTGGGCTCTGATCACCAGATGAGTGTCCCGTTACGACTTACAAAATTTATTATGCATCAAATCGTCAGGGAAGAACTTCAAACCCACAAAAATTTGTGCCAGGTTTATTTCAAAGATATTAACCAACGGACAGAAAGAAAACTGTCAGTCGGTTTCGCGTGAATTGTTGTAGTGTGTAATAAGTGACCCTAATATTTTAATTGAGTGATTGCCGTGACGTAACATGGGTTTTTCAGTACGATACTGAAAGAAAGAGACAGACTACAGAGTAGCACAGGTCCCAATATCCTGTTCAAAAGAAGGCTTGAGGAAATCAAAATTGAAGTCCATACTCATTGCCTTCACTGACACCAAGGAATAGTGCCCAAAGAGTTTGTGCCACCTGGACAGACACTTAAAGCAGATTCTCACATGGAAATGCTTCAAAGGTTGAGGAATCGGATAGTGCACGTCCGCCTGGAACTCACAAACAATTTGATTCTGCACCGCGATAACGCACCAGTACAAGAATTCTTCAAAGCAATTCAGTTCCTGGAAAAACGCAAAGTCACAACGCTGCCCCAACCAAGGTACAGCTCCGATCTGTCAACACCGGACTTTTTTGTATTCCCTCGGTTAGAATCCAGCTTAATAGTTCATCGCTTTGACAATCTGGGGAACCTGCAATAAAAAAGCAACGCGCGTTCTAAACAGCATTTTCCAGCTAAAGATTTCCAGGCGGGCATCAGTAGGTGGCAGAATCTTTGGCAATGGTGCATTAATGAAAGAGCAGATTACTTTAAATAATATTAAGTGTCTGTCAAATAATCTTCAAATAAACGAATTTTATGGAATCACTCTCATTACTTTCTGAACAGACCCTGTATATGCTGCAAAAGTAACGATGTGATGAATTTATGTGAAATTTGCTGAGCATTTATTGTCTTTTAATTTAATAGGAATAATAATGTTTCCAGATAGGTACCGTGTACTCTCGTGTAATGTCCGCACTCACGTAATGTCCACATCCCTACTTTACAGATCAAATTTATGCAAAAAAAAGTGACTCGCACAATGTCTGCACCCCAAAAACTAAAGAATTTCTTACTTTAAAAGATATTTTTTTAACATCGCCTTTTTCCCTTCAGTAAATAACATTAGTCAATAAACATCTTTAAAGAAAGAATATACATTTGTTTTGTCTTTGTTTGGCGCCAGGATGTAAAGCAGAGACTTTCCTTGCATTCTGGTTCAACTGTTATTCATTTATAACATCGGCGTCAGTAATCCACACGGCAGACGCGATAATAAATGAATTTAGTCCAAACAGGTTTTTACTACACTGACTTTCAGGAATACTGTTTTGTAATGAAATTACTTTCTCCTCCTTGCTCTTGGAGCATTCGCATATTTCAAGCCTTCTCTTTTTATTTTTCGAGAAGAAGGCATTCCTATATCGCAATTCAAGGCGAGTGAAGGTTAGTTGATGAAATGAAATGGATTTTCATACCGTGCGTTAGAACAGAATTTTTCTTAATAATGTGTGCAAGATATTAAAAGAACCAACGTTTATTTAATTTGTGTAAAATTAAATATTAAAATTGTAAGTGTTGGTTAATTTGTGCCTCTATATTGTGCTCCTGTGTGAACTACGCGCCGAGTGCTGATAATTTATATTACATATGTAGATGGGAGAAAGTGAGTTTTTAAATTTTAGGTAGCTATTAGACAACTTTAAATTTGATACTTTTATTACTTATGCCATTTTCTTCCACTTATAATTGAACTTGTTTCTTTGAAATGAAATTTACACCCGAAATTACTCACGAGAATAAACGTGACATTTGAACAACCCGTGTTATGTCCGCACCTGCATATTAGTGATGTAATTTTAGTAAAAAATGTGCGGACATTACATGAGAGTATACGGTATATCCCAATTATATTATTACTCGATATACACAGAAAGGTTTTTCAAAACAGAGTTAGTCTAAAACTGTTTTGCTTGAATTTAAAGTTTTAATTGGCAGACTTCGCTAGCGTATTTTCGCAGATGTTCCTAGGTGCTCCAATTATTAAAATTTGCAAATTATATAGCTCTATTGCATTTTATCTCAAGAATAAATCGAACGATATTCCCCCGAAACGAGAAACTGTAAATCTTGGTGTGAGTTTATGTTTAAGTTTCCTTAACAAATTTTATTTAATTTGCATCTTTCATATTGCCTCATTTTAACCATTCCAGAATTTATGCAAGATTGAGTAGCGAACAGTTTCAGTTCAAAGTTAGAGAACAGCTCGTAACTGTGTGTGAGATTTTGGCTTGAACGCCTGCCTCTTGCCATTTAATTTAACATTTAACTATT